CATGAATGGGGTTGTGATGGGATTGCTTCCTGTTGTGCAACGCAGGTTGTCCTGCTTCTGGTGATATTTAGATTGATCAGTGGATGTAGGTGTTGTCAGTCTGTCCATTATAAAGTTCTCCATCAACCCTTCACCAAATGGTTTTAGTATCCACTGAGGATCATTGTCTAGGTTCAAAATGGTGATTTCCTAATTCTGTTATTCCTTCTCTGTATATTAAATGTGTTTTGTTCCTCAGCAGTAACTTCTATAGGAAAGACAGAATAGATGCTTGATTTTTTCCACTGTATCATTTTTTAGTATAATCGATTGGTGCCCTAGCCACTTCCTTAGATGAGCAATGAGTATGTTATTGTCTTAAGCACCATTATGACCTCAAGTTTTAGGGGGTTTTAAAATATATTTGATGTGTCTCATTCCGTTGCAGTCATTATGACCAAATTTTTATGTCCAAATTGCCCCGTCTTGGGCTATTGGGAGCGCCTTCAAATTGGCTCCTGTGTCCTTTTGGCAAGACCCCATTCGTCTTTGATGGCTTCCTTGCTGTCTGGCACAAGATGTCCCTTGCTCATTTTGTACAGATCCTGCCTCAGACCTGGAAACAGCCATTTCTTCCAGGGCCCTGTTGAAACTACCTGTTTAAGATGTTTCTGCTTTTTTGGGAATTCCCTGACAATCCAGTAGTTAGGGCTCAGCGCTTTCACTGCTGAGGGCCCAGGTTCAGTCCCTGGTTGGGGAACTAAGATACTGCAAGCCATGCAGCGTGGCCAAAAAAATAAAAAGATTTTTCTGCTTTTGTTGATTAATTAGTTTGGACTACTTTAACGCAATGTGATTATCCACTCAGGCTGTAAGTATTGACACTTTGATGTTAGACATTTGGGGGAGTTATGCTAACAATATTAGTGTGCATTTGAAAATAATCCTGTTGCTAGTGTTAGTCTAAATCTGGAGCAGTCATTTTTCCACTGGTGATTTAAATGTTAATCTGCTAACAGGTTGTACAGTGTAACTGTTTACCTTGTACTCACTGGTTTACATTTAATCGTTTAAGACAAGCTTGACAAACTGCCATCAAAACCTGCCCAACTTGTTGTACCAAAGTGTCTTACCCTTGTCTTTCTAGTCTCCTGCCTGTTACAGATCAGCAGAGATGAATTGTATGATCAGCCATGTTGTGAGCAGACATTTTAATAACACCTAAGGGCCAGTAAGCATTCTAGCTGCCATGCCACAAGTGATACAAAGGAACGTGGTTTTGATCTTGTTGAGGATCTATGATGAACATATGTACAACAGAAGGATAATTCTACTAGATAACACTACTAGTGGATTTCAGGCAATAAAATGTGGGTTTAGTCAATAAGGCAAGAGTTGGTAACAGAGATGGACTTAGGATTGAGGTTCCAGATAGTTTCAAATTTGCATAGGCAGAAAAAAGAGTGAGTACAAGGGCAGGAATGAACCCAGTGATTGACAACAGGAGGGAGATAGTCAGAGTGTTTTATGGCATAGTGGGAGAGGAGTTGTACCAGAGGAGTAGCTATGATGTGGGGAAGGCTGGACATCAAAGTTTGTCTATTTGATTAGCAAGAAGAAATCATTATAAGCTCCTAAGCTGGAAAGGCTATTGATAACACTAGTCGTCGGATAGATTTGTTAAGACAGAGCTTGAACAAAGGTGCTGGTTAGGGGTCACTTGAGTGACTAGGTGTGACTTCATGCAGCACTGGCAATGGATAAAAGAAAATGAAACTGAGATATTGCAAAGAAGTATTTAAAAGGAGCGGTGACATTGAGGATGGGAAGGTTGGGAGTAGGTAAAGAGGGGAAGGTTTAGAACTGTGCTGTTCAATACTGTACCTACTAACAACATGTAATTATTTAATTTTAAATTAAATTAAATGACATTTAAAATTCAGTCCCTCAGTCGTAGTGCTCAGTAGACCACATAGTTATAGAACATTTCCATTATCAAAGAAAGTTCTGTTAAACCTGTTTTAGACCCAGGTATCTGAAGCAAAATAGTGATGCCATATTAGACTTGTAGAGTTTATGGTAGGCCTTTAACTGAAGTTGTCCAGAAGCAACAGAAAATGCCTCACTACAGCCCAGGGTAGATCTGAGCTGGGGCAATTTAGGAGCCATGGAGGGAACCATGAGATGGTAGGAGCATTCACTAGCAGGCCAGAGGCAACAGAGGAAGGACCTCAGCCAGGCAAGAAATAGAAACAGAGGAGGTAGAAAGGAGAGCTGGGAGAACTTTTCTTTTTTTAAAGAGAGAGATGCAAAGATCTACATTGTCAGGAAATTAAATAGCAGAATTTATGAGAAAAGACCATTTGTTTTAGCGAGGCGGAGGCATTTACTCGTAAAACGTTAGGAAATGGATTCGATGGCAGGAAACTAGATGACACTGAGTGGGGAAGGAGATTAAGCCTGTGTGTGCAGCTTGGAAGGAGGTGGAGGAACAGAGTGATGTATTTGAGCAGAATGGCAGAGTCCAGTCCGAGGGGTTTGATGTACATCAGAATGGAAGAGTCTGCTGGGCTGAGAGGAAAACAAGGTTCTCTTTCTGATCACGGGGAAGGAAGAGGTGAGAGACATTGAGGTGGGTGTAGAGGAAGGCTGTGCAGAAAGCTGATGAGGGATGCCGTGGAGTCCCCTGTGTCCACTGCGAGAGCCCTCGCTCGGGGACTAGGCATTTGGTGACATCCTTTGTAGCATTTATGTGTTGCTGCCAACGGTCTTGAAAGTACTATTTTGAGTACTGAATTGAAACAATGAAGTATAAATGCTGTATATTTGATAGACCCGTTTAGATACCATGAATTTTAGGAAACTATTTTGCTTATTTCATATTGTTTTTTGATTCAGCTTTTGGTTTTTCTGAAGTGATGAGAGCACCACATGTAAAACTAAACCGTATTTGGAGGTGTGACCCTGTAGGCGTCTCTTCAGATCTTTTAGCTTAAGTAATAAGCTTTTATTCTCATGATCGCTCTCACGGCTGTTATTTTTCTTTGGGTTGAAGCAGTCACCACCAACTAATGTGTGTGTGCCCTCCAGACTAAATCCCTCTGAGCACATACTCCACTCTGAGAGAGAGGCATTTCGTAACCCGCTCTGTCACTTAATTAGGACATGTCTGAAACTTCCTGTTCTAAAAATTTGAACTGTTAGAGTTTTTAAAAGAACAGTGATGGGGAAAAAAAGCAGTCATCTTTGTCTTTTCTTTTTGCAGATATGAGTCTCCAGAAATAGCTCTGAATTGTGGAATAATGTTGAGAGAATGCATCAGACATGAGCCACTTGCAAAAATCATTTTGTGGTCAGAACAGTTTTATGATTTCTTCAGATATGTCGAAATGTCAACATTCGATATAGCTTCAGATGCATTTGCCACATTCAAGGTAACAAAAACTATAGAATTCTAAATATACATACAAGTGAGATTAACAGGTGTGCTGTTTTTCCTAAACCTTCTCTACCCTCCAAGTCTATACATGGCTGCCCTCTAGCGGGAAGAGAGAAGATATATTTAAATGTGTATTGTGACTCAGGTATACGCAGTAGAGTCACAGCTTAAAAAGGGTAGAAAAGTTAGATTCTGAAGTCTGCCTAAAAGGCAAAAGTCCTGTACGGTCAGAAGTACACTTTTCTGTTAAATTACCCATCAAGTACAGTATATAGATATGCAGTACATGTGAAAATCAGATGTTTCTCCTGTGTTGGAACATACTGCAGCAGTTTCTTTGATTAAGCATCAGACAAAGTAGTTGGCTTCTGTTCAGGGCCATTGTTAATTTGCAGTATACTAGAACCACACTCAGGACAGAGATTTCCCAATTGTGGACAGGCCCAAGGGCACAGTGGACTTCTCTCTCCCATCTCCTGCTCAGGCCAGAGCTTGTTTATTAAACACAAGGGGTGGGGGTGCAGAATCACCAGCAGTACTACTCCCCTCTCCCCTGCCTACCTTGTCTCCCTGTTGTGTGTTTGTGTAAATTAAATAGATGATACGATACCACTGTACAACATGCACATTTTTGTTTTGAATTGCAAAGTTCTGTGCTGTTTAAGGTATGTAGATAAAGCTGTAATGTTTTTTAGTGTTTTTCACAATGAGAGCAAGTCTTTATACGTTATATTCCCTTATGTAAAATGTCTGGCCTCATAAGTGAATATGTAGAACTGTAATTTTAATATAATCAGAATTTAATATACTAACCTTCAGACTACTGTGCTCAGAAACCATGAACACTGTTACAGTGAGAAGTGGCCACTGTTTTTGTGAAGGTTCACTTTTATGTATAAAGAGCCATTGAGATAATGAGCACGTCTTGGTCTCTGAATAAAATTTGTCCCTCAGAGCGAATGAACACCCTCAAAATGGGATGAAAGCCTGGGAACTTGGCCGCCTAGGGATTATTAGAGAGGATGTAAGAAGACCTCAGATATTTATATGTTAATGTACAAAGCAAAATGAAATGAATATGAGATTATAACATAGAGTGGAAAATATGACATCTTAGGTATCACTGCACTTGGTGGGATGGGACTCATGACCTGGGATCTATTGATGGAAGGGGACGCCCCATTCAAAAGAAGCAGACCTGAAATGAAGGGAGATGTAGCAGCACCATGTGTCAAGAAGGGATACTCCTGGGTGGGAAGAAAGCCAGAAGCCTGAGCGTGGGACATTCTGGGAGGAGGAGGGTGAGGGCAGAGGAGAGGAGCAGTGGTGGGGTCGGAGAATGCAGCCAGACCGCCTGACCAAGAAGAGCCCAGATCCCACGCTCCTGGTGCAGTTGGCTCAGAGGTGAGAGAGATGTGCTGACTAACTCTGTGCCACAGATGTGAGTCCCTGATTGGCCTTGCTGATAATTCCATCTCAGAGAGGATTGCTTTTTTGAATGAAATTCTCACCAAGAAGAAAACGGTGGTGATGGAATCACTGTGGGTAAAGCAGCCCTGTCGGGTCGTGGTAGCCAGAGAGGGAAGGATTGGGCAGAGTCAGGCAGGTATTCCCTACCTGAAGAAGAGAAACTTTAAAACCACGTAGGATTCTAAGGATGAGCTCTAGAAGAGAGAGCAGTGAGGAGCGAGCTTGGCTTCTGTATCTCAGCTGCTCCCGATGACTCAGAAGGGGCAGAGTTAATTAAAGAGCCTCCTGAATGGAGAGCTCTCCAAGAAGCAAAGTTAAGTAGAGCCCAAAACTAAGACAATATAGGAGAGGCACAGACCTAACAAACACGCCGAAGGTACCACCCACCCCTCCTTAAAATGTCTGGTTGGCTCTGGTCTCACTTTCACACCAGAGGTGCTGACAAGCAGGGAGGGAGGACCGCTCCTCTTCTGGTTTGCTAATGTCTTCTTTGCAAAGAACATTTTTATATCAGAAAAGAGTAGATGGTTCTTGTTCTCCTTCGAGAATATGACCAGAGCTACCTTCCCAGAAAGTGCACTCTACACACAAAAACTTTGAAACAAATGCAGCTTATCCATAACCCTGGCTTTAAAGTCCAAGGAACAGGTGCTGAGTCTTAAAAGGAAATTAAAACTACCTGTGTGAAATATGTCAAAGATTCATAGCTTGAACGAATGGGGTTCTGAGATAGTAAATCAGTGGCCAAATATTTGTGATTTTTTTTTTTTTTTTTTTGAGGAATTAAGGAGATGGGGAGGGACATCAGAAGGCCAACAAATATATTTCCAATTTTCCAGAGTAAAAGAAGGTAGATTCCCCAGAGAGGCTGGTGGAGCTCGATATTATACCTGTGTAAGGTACTAGAAAGTATTGCTAAAGAGATGATTTCTGAGCATTTTGGAAAGGAAACCGTGTACCCACAGCCATCATGGATTCACTAAGAGTAAGTTCAGTCATACTAATCTCATAGACGCCAGTAGATCAGGGGGCTAAGGGCGTGGCTGCTTGGATTCAGTTCCCAGCTCTGCTGCTGATTTAACCTCAGTCTTTTCATCTGTCAAAATATAGGTAATACTAGTATGTCAGGGTTATTGTGTCTTCACATAGTATATGGGTGCAGTGAACAGTAGCTATTAGAATTATTCCTTCATGACAATGTGGATATATTAGATGTTGAATAATTGTACAGGTCTGTTTTCATGGAAACAATGAAAAGGTAGGAGCTAGATGGAGTTTCAGGGTATCAATTCATAATTAATTGAATGCCATATCCATAAGGAGCCAGAAAATGGATTGCCACCCTCCTGGAGCAGAATTTTTAGTGGATTTATCTTTACTCAGCACAACTGAACATTTTTATTAAAGACTTAGATAAAGGGTGATAACATATGTATACCATGAGGTGATAGAAGGCAGATAACAGAGATCCTGAAATAAGGCCTCATAAAGATCCAGAGAGGCCAGAAGATAACAGGTTGAAATTAAATACGGATGAACTGAGGTCGTCCTCCTGAGGTCTCAGCTCTGTCAATATGAGATGTGGGAGTAAGGCATAATAATAATAGGTAATGCTAGGTGTAATTGTTATAGAGTGTAATAATGACTAAAAGGCAGGTAACATCATATCATACTCAACCCTATGAAGGAGATACTGTTATTATCTCCTTTACAGATAAGGAAACTGAAGCCTAGAAATGTTGGAGGAAGTCAGACCATAAATGGGGAAGCCAGAATTTGAATCCAGGCAGTCTGACTAGAGAGCCCACACTGAGTAAACAAAATTCTGAGTACGTCCAGTAAAATTAAACAGTATGATGCTGTTGCCCTGCCCCTAAGCTACCTGTGACCACATAACGTGTGACCTAAGGAGCTGTCGATGGTCTCACCCCACTGTAAGCTTATAAGGTAACAACACATAAATGTGTTCCATTCCAGGCGCTACACTTTAAGAGGCACATAGACAAATAGATGACTTTCAGAAGACAGTAGATGGTGAGGGGGACTGAGAACCTGTCATTCGAGGAGTGGTTAAAGGAACTGGACGTATTTAGCCTGAAGAAGAGGAGACTCGGTAGGGACTTGCGTGAGAGCACCGCTTGTATTTAAAGTGGGTCCTAGAGAAAAGGTACTAAACCTAGTTCTGTTGACTCTGACAGTTTTCTGGAAATAACCTGGGGATAGGTTTTGACTCTCTAGCACAGGAGGAACTTTCTGACTTTCAGAGCTCCAAAGGTGAACCACACAGTTGGAAGAACTGAGTCTCTTGTCCTTGGACATAGACAGTCATCAAGTACGAAATTGGGCCACATGACTTGCCAAGCCTCTGTGAAAATAGCCCCCGGGTGAGCAGCATTTCTTTAGGGATTCCAGGGCTGTCTTTGTGACATGATATTTGGGACCCAAACTCACATAACTTTTAGGAATCTTTTTAATTCAGCCCACCCTAAAAGTTGGCTGCTCAATCTGCTGGACTTGGGAGATGATCCCTGACCTTTCTTCAGGTAATACCAGGGTCTCGGCTATACTGGAATTTAACAGGTTGGGAAGTCAGAAATCATGTTCTTTCTGCCCCCCTGCTGTCTGGCCCAGCAGCTCTGCTGATCTGGGACCGCGTGCACCCTGTCCACTCTGCAGGTCGCTTAACAAGATGCTGGCTGCATGACCACTTGCCTTCGTTTTCTGATCTGTCGGTTTCTGCCTCCCCCCAACCCCCACCCCAGCCTGGTTTGAGCTCTCTAGAGCTCTCTGCTCTATTTCCAAGGGTAAGGTCTTTTCCCACCTCTCAGGAGACAGAGGCTCTGCGCAAGTCCCCACTTCCTCTTTTCCCAGCTTAGTATCAGCCTTTTTACTCTGTGCCGGCTCCCAGCAATTGTTCCTTCCCTGCTAATGTTTTACCCTCCTTAAAGAAGGGCTGCTTTAGCAGCCTCAGCACCGCTTTCCAGTCTCTCCTACCCCAAGGCCATGGAGAAGTGATTCCTAGATTGGCAGTGGTTTCCTGAGCTTCCTGGTCTCTTTAAACCAGATGATAACAAGTAGAATCTCTGGTGGGGAGATGTTTGAGTTTCCCCCTTGTCATATGTGGCCCAACTGTGAGCCTCTTGCTGCTGCTGGAGATACAGCTTTCAAGGTAAATAGTCACCTTACTCAGACCTAAAGAAAAAAACTCTGGCGCAGCATATTTAGGATCTTTGCTTTTCAGAGTAATACTTTCTACCTACCTATTCCTAAGAAACCAACCCCAGTGGAGAGCCGTTGTCTCTGAGACCCCCTCCTTTGGCATTCTCTTTCGTCATATCATGACAGAGCGGTGAGCACCTGGCTCCCGGCTCTGTACTTCCTCACAGTGGCCTTCAGAAAGACCCAGCCACAAAAAGTAGACGTGACACTCAGTCTTGCATGGATCTAGCCACAGCAGTCCTTAAATTCACTTTTTCATTGTTCATTCAGTTCATTCCACAAGTCTCTGAGTGCCTGCTCATGTCTTTAGGTCCTGAGGTTCAGCAATCTATTTTTTTTTTTTTTTTTTGGCCACACTGCACGGCTTATGGGATCTTAGTTCCCTGCCCGGGACCCCCTGTAGTGGAAGTGCAGAGTCCTAACCACTGGACTGCCAGGGAATTCCCGGGTCAGCAGTGATCTGTCCAAACGCCTGCCCTTGAGGCTCCTAACTCAGGGGAGACCGTCATAGTCCACACAGTAGCGTGTTAGAGGCGGGACACACTCTTTAAAAAGCATGCTTGATACATTCCCTTAAGGTTCTCATGTTCCTGTCTCCCTCACGTCTGACCCCATGGACCAATAGATAATATAAATTCTTCTAGCCCTGCCATCTCCTCCTTCCCATATGGGGAAGCCTCATAGCATTTCTTTCCAGATGCTTGAAGGTACTCAAACTCCAGGTTTTCTAATTTTGCCTGTTTAATCCCCAAGGGGGATTTAGGAAAAATTGGGTAGACCTTCCATGGGCATAGGACACATACCCCATCCAGCAGTTTGAACACCTGTAAGTCTTTGGGGTAGAGTTAGAAGCCTTCTTAAAAGCATACTTTGAAGATTGCTTAATGTGCTGTTTTCCCAAACATGTTCCCTGATTCTGTTGGTTCATTCATTTATTTATTAAATATTAAGCTCTTACTATGTGCTGGATACTGCATAGGTGCTGGCGATTCAGAGATTAGTAAAAATAGACATGACCCTTGTATTTATAGACTTTACAGCCTATCATGAGAGAGACATTAATAAAATAATCCCACAGATGTCAAGTCATAACTGTGACCATGCTTTGGTGCCAGTGACCAGTCAGGAAGGGTCCCCCATGGAGGCGATGTTTGAGTCGAGGTCCAAAGGTTGGAAGTAACTAGGCCAGGGGAAAGCCTGTGCAAAGGAGGCCTTTCAGGGAAGGGTGCTAACAAGCAGGCAGCAAAAGAGCTCCCTGCAAAATCTCTTGAAACCTGATAGATCCCCACGAGGGTACCAGAGCTGTAGCTCTTTCCTCATTCGTTGACCATGGAGCATTCCTTAGAGCATTTCTCAGGACATACTTCAGGAAACACTGTAACCTGTTCATTGTAACCTGGGTAAGTCGAACATACACAGCAAAGAAAACAAGTTAAAGGAAAGTTGGTTTGGAGAAAGGGGATTATTGGCAGTGACCTCTCCAGTGGGCAGCTCTAAAGGAATTTAATTCATTAATTCACCAAAGATGAATTGGCTGTTCCTGCTGTCACGTGTTTCCATTCTTATTCCCACCGGTGAGACCAAGGCTAGTTCATTGCTAGCTTCTGTGTCCTTGAAGGCAAGGACCATATCTTTTTGTCTTTGTACCCCCAGCACCTAGAACTTTATCTGGCACATAGTAGGTGTTTTCTGAATGAATAGTCCTTGAGTTGTTTCCAGGGAAATTCACAGGGTGAGGCATAAGCTCGATTTCATAGGGGTGCACAGTTGGACTCTAGGTCATACTAACTTTTGGTGCTACATGTTTGCAGCATTAGTCTGCTTACTTAGGAGCTAATGTTTATAATATGATGGGGCTTTTAAAAAACATTCTACCTCTGAAAAAAGTTTGCATTCAGTATGAAACTGAATGTAACTGAATTTAGGAGGAAGAAGATGGAACCTCCAGTACTTTTTCTAATAAAAGAAATGTCCTCTTTCACCACCAGGAGCAGTATACTATTTGACATTTTATCACAACCGTTTACTTTTATTTCATTTCAATTCTTGATTCCCTTTCTTTGAGTTTTTATCTCCATTGCCTTATAAACTTTTTTTAAATTTTTCCTTCTGAGAGCTGTAGACCTGTGACACTCAATCATTACAATCACAATCTGATTATTAACGATTTTATTTGCTCTTACATAGAATCAATATTTTCAGTACAATTCATGCTCAAATGTTTTTAAGTATAGTAATTTTTAACAACAGTTTTTATCAGGTAGAATGGCGTGGAATGTTTAGGATTCTCTTTTCTAAAAGAACTTGAATGCCAAGCAACTGTAAAAACTGTATTTTCTTTTCCTAGGATTTACTTACAAGACATAAATTGCTCAGCGCAGAATTTTTGGAACAACATTATGATAGAGTAAGTACGTGAAACACTATTTTAAAATAGCACATTGTAAGTTTTGTTACCAGAAATGAAAGATTTTAATTAGATTTTGTACCAGAGTATTTATTTTGGAAATACAATGTTTTTAATTGGTGCTGTAATCATTTCTCTACTAAAACAAGGTATAGAGCGTTATGTGGTCAGAACAGAATTTTATCTTTTTGACGACACACTGCACTTTGCATCTTTTTTCGCTTTAGAAGAGGAAAATAAATCACTTCGCTGCTGAATGATAATATACAGTTAAGATAAAAAGAAAATTACTGTCTGACTTCTTATCTTCCCCTTACTTTCCGTTAGTTGCTCACATTCC